GATTGCAATGCAAAATTGGAGGATGGTTTCACAAAAGCTTAGCACCTTTTCACCGGAATCTAAGGAGATCCCCTCGGAAACAGCGTCAGCATGAACGTTTCAGTAAAGCCAATCGAAAGCTGGTCAAGAGGATTCCGTGGTCGTCTTCTCGTGGAGCCGACCTTCGAAGCTCTTTACCAAACGCTTTCACCCAAAATGGAAATAATCTCAACAATTAACAGAAGCAGTTTTATTGACTCTAAATCGGTAGTTGGCGGTATGCATGATTACTTTGCTATTTGGCCGAATCTTAGAGCTGTCTGATATAGTTTATTATTTTAAATTAAGTATCAAGTAAGTAATATTACGTTTAGAATGGAATTAGAGAAGAATAACGCTTCGCATATATCAAGTGTATTCACCACATTTCTTTTAATGTGGAAAGGAGACTGGTAGTTGAATTTTCCCATAATCGGTTGAGTAGCCTCAATATTGCCATTGAATTTTACATTGCTTTGCTTGCAACTACCATTCCTGTCATCAACTTCAACGAATTAGGATGAATGCACTTGAGATAGAAGTGATCTACTTACAAACTAAGAATATTGCTTTCCCATTTTATGACAGGGATGCTGATTTCCTCACTACTTTTACTGTCCACTCTCTTGACTAGCATTGGCATAGCAACAATCTTTCAAAAGAATATGAACAAGCATGTGTCACTTGATGATCAGTGTCCTCTGGGCCTGATGGAAAGAGACATCGGTTTGACGAGGAATACGAAACTTTGGGGCAAAATTGAGAACCTTGCATATCTTCACCTTTCACCGGAATCGAAGCAGATTGCCTCGGAAACAGCCTCAGCATGAATGTTCCAGTAAAGCCAATCGACAGCTGGTCAAGAGGAATGGGCCGTCGTCTTCTGGTGGTGGAAGCGACCTTCGAATCTCTTCACCAAGCGCTTGCACTTGAAATGGAAGTAAGCTCAACAAGTACAAAAACGAGGTCAAACCAACGACATTTTAATCAGCTGCGTTCGTCCCATTTCGTTTAAGATACTGAAGCAGTGACAATTGCATTTTCCAACAATCAGATGGGTAGAACCTTACTTTTCGCAAAAGATCTTCCCATCCAGGCGTGAAAGGGAAACATTTTTATTACTTTGTTAGCCTTATTTCGAAGGTAATTCACGCTTTGTTTATTGGTTCGACGTAGTTACGTCGTCGCCCATTCCTCTTCTGTACGCCTTTACGATAAGGCCTCTCTCTCTCTCGGCGTGGAGCTCCGACACGGTCGAGAGGCCGAGTTCAAAAGGCCGGCCCGTCGGCTCGTCTCCCTCGTCTAGGCTGTAGGTAATAGAGTGCAGGGGGGTTGCTGCTGCCTCGTCGGTTGCTGCCGCGACCGGTACCAGATGGCCAGAGGAGAAGAGCTCTTTTCTGGGGATGGATCAACCCGGACCGAGTGCAGATTGGGGCTGAGCTGGTGTCTTGTTCTCGGCTTCGCGACACGCATGATCGCTCAGTCGTCGTGTGTACCGTCGGCCGGCGAGCGTTAGTGACGACGAATGGGCGAGTCGGTTTCAGAGCGGGAAGCTGCTGGCTCGCCTCTTTTGCGTCATGTTTGCTCGGGGTGCATGGGTTTCATTGAGCAGATGATCCGTGGAAGCAAGTGTGCCAATCAGCTTCTAGACGATCTGCAAGTGAGGCGAAATGGTAAGAGCTACTGATGACTTGAGAAGTAGTGCCTGAGGGAAATGTACACTAAGACTGGAGCCAAGTGAAAATGGTCAACACGGA